CACGGCATACATACATATATCTCCCAAGTGCATATCAGGCGATCCACAACAAGGCTCACTATATCTATATATATATATATATACACATCAGAAGTGCTTTAGTATTCAGTTTGATATTAAGTCTAAAAGAACATATAAATATTTTTATAGATATATATATGCGGATTTTTACGCGCCGAACATTTAACTTAGCAATTAGCACAATAAAATTTACAATAATATTTAATTAAAATCTATCAGATCTATTTATAAACTATATAACTATATCCGATCAGAGGCTGGTCATCGCCGGCGGCCGTGCATAGGCCTTGGGTATGAAGCCGTATTTGCGCGTCTTGGGCGCATATGCCCACAGCCAGCCGTCCACGGTCTGATTGTTTAGATCCGCATAGATCCAGTCGCCGCGGCGCACGGACAGATCGTCGGGCGCCTGCGCCTTGTAGTCGTACAGCATGACCAGCTCCGTGCCATGGTAGCGCAAATCGTCCGTGCCTATGCCCAGTTGTTGTTGCTGCTGTTGTTGTTGTTGTTGTTGTTGTGCCTGTTGTCCCTGCTGCTGGAGCATGCTTTCCATGGCATTCAGACCGCCACCAGTTAGATTCGCATGATGCTGCATGTTGCTTTCGTTGAGAGGCGCCGCGGTTGGCGTTGCCTTCTGCTGCTGCAGCACGCGCACACTGTCGGCGGGATAGATGAAATTGGCCGGTACAAAGCCCTCCTGGCCATCGCTGCGCATTATCCAGAACCAATCAGGATCCTCGCGATTCAGCACGGTCACGAATTCGCCGCGCTCCACGGACAAATCGTTCTCGTCGCGTGCAATAAATGTGTAGAGCACAATGCAACGTCCCGACGGCTCCTTGATGAACGGCGTGCACTCGGGCATGGCCACATGCAGATTGCTCTCCAGATTGTTGGCTGCCGGGGCTGTGCCCGCAGCGATCGCTTCATCGCACAGCACGTCCAGTTTGTTGTCAACGCCAACGCCCAGCAGCGGCTGGTTCTCCTCGTGCGGCTGCTCGGGACACTGTTCACGCGGCAGCTTCTTTTTGATGGCCAGCTCAGCTAGCTGTGTGTTGTAGGGCGCGCAGTAGGAGAAGGGTATGAAGCCCTCCTGCCGTGAATCCTGTCCAATAACATAGACCCAATCGTTTTCCCTATACAATATATTAACCAGCTGGCCGCGCTTCACCTCCAGCTCATCATCCACGCAGGGCGTAAAGTCGTGCAGCACAACCATTTTGGAGTCGGGACTGCAAAGGCAATAATATTTATATGCATATGTAAATATTGTTATTTCAATCATGCTACCTGAGTCCGTGCTCCTTCTCAATGCCCACACGCACCAGAGTCTCTATGCTGGAGGAGCCTGTAATGCGGCCCATGCCCACGGGCGCCAGATCCCGTTCGATGTTGGCATTTGTGGCTGTGTGAAAACAAGTTTGTTGTTTGAGTCTTTCATTTATCATTTGCTGTTTTGTTTTTCATTTTTCTTTAGCTGCGCATGCGTACCTTTCTTTTTATCGCGCCGCATGCGCACCGGACACAGAAAAGCCATTGCAATAGTGCTATAACTAATTTTCAATAACTTAAAACTAGTTTAAATTAATAGAGAAACGATTTTAATAAGTCCTGCCAAGTGGAAAATGCATTGCAGGTGCATGCGATTGTTTTGTCTATCGAGCCGAGCGTGCGTATATCGAACGAGCGTGATTAATCGTTATCGGCCGACCGCCACAAAAACAATTTGTGCGCCCAAAAAATTATTGTTCTGCTGTGCTTCAGTTTTTTTTTTTTTTTTTGCGTTTCAATTATATTAATTATGTTGTTGTTTTTGTTTATTTGTGCCGAACAAATGCCGCCTTTTGCTGCGCCTTCAAGCGTGTAAGTAAACATTGGAATTCTGCATAACATTTATGCATGTATTGGCCTCACAGAGCGCGCACCTTGAGCCAGGTTCAATGCACTTGTCCGTTAGTTAGTCGAAAGAGTACGTAGACTTAATTGCCCCAATTTAAATTAATGTATTGTACTAAATGTGTCAGTGTGCTTGCAGTACTTATGCAAGGTGCTTAGCATTGCTCGCTTGCCAAGATTTATGCGAGAGATGAGAGTTAAATATTGTTTGACAACATGTTTGAGTTCTGTTAATAATATTTGTCCATTTATCAGTTTGCTGCGTTTCAAGGTTGAATTAGAGTACGTCATGGCATTATCCTTGCAACAGCATCAACATCAACATCCTGTCGAAACGGGCAATGCACTATTTTGGTGCCAAGGATAAAGCTGTTTGCACGCCATTTTCGATTATTGTTGCACCACTCAACCCTCTATGTGTGCGTGTGCATGCGTGTGTGTGTGTGTGTGTGTGTGGGGCAAGCGAAAGTACAGCCAACTAACAAACTGACCTACACAGCAGCCCATGCCTGAACCCAGTCCCCAGCTCTCAAGTTCGATTTCATTGCCAAAAAAAAAAAAAAAGAAAGAGGGAAACTGCGCATTACAATTGCTCCTGCCCCTGCCCCTGTCCCTGCTGCTGCCCCTGCCGCTGTGAGCATTATCCTGGCATCAGGCTCAACCCGTCTCGCCGTCGACTTTTGCTTACTACGCAGTTGATTTTTGCATCCCATGTTCCAGTCATATCTAGCTACCTTCTCCCATGCCCTATCCCAAGAGTTTTAGCTAAGAGCACGCGCTCTTCATCCAAAGAGCAGAGCGTAAATCGATGGAACGGCGTCTGCGCATTAATTCACACGTAAAAACCATTCACTAAAACAGCACAATGAAGCCGAAGATGATGAAGATGCTTGACGTGAATGCTGCTCCTGCTGCTTCTGCTGCTGCTCCTGCTGCTGCTGCTGCTGCTGCTGCTCCTTCGACTGAACATGCAACGCCGTCTGGGCAGCAGACAGAGGCTTACGGCCAGCCACTGGCTGACTAAGTGGGTCAGTTATTTTTGGAGTCACGCGCTTCTATTTGCGGCAGCTGCCTGCCAAGCCCAATAGGTGTCCTGCCACTCGTCCTGAATTCAATTCGAGTGCTATTATAAAACTGTCAGTCCGATTGTTTCAGTCCAGGAATTGTCAGATTTACTTCACATGCACGTCCGCCGCGCCCCTTACAACATTTCACCATGTCCATGTCCTCCACCATGGAGCAGGGCGAAGGCGGGGGGCGTTGCGCTTGTAATTCTCGTAAATCGATTTGTTGAGCTTTCAATTTCATGAATGGCATTTCAATTTGTCCAAAAACAACGCTAAAACCGAAAAGTTTTCAAATCGCAAAGTTGATGGACGTGGACGGAAAAATGATTGTGAATGTGGCAACTTTTGGAAGTACCTATATGACCTTTATAAGGATCTAGAGTATAGGCAATATCTAGTACTTTGTTGCGTTCCGTTTAGAATTTCAATATATATTATTGATATAATTTGTATAACTAGTTATTAAAGCATATTTCACCTGAATAAGCGTTCCTTTCGTAGATTCTATGTAGAAGATAATTACTGGAGTAGATTTGATAAATAAGGGAAAAAAATGTACTTGATATATTCTACATCTATATGCTAGAATAAAGAAAGAAAATATCCTTAGACTAATAGATATAGTATATAGGAACCCGAAAATATCCTGGTAAACAATTAACAAATATAGAATAAAGGATCCCTAATATATAACAAATACTTAAAATATCCTGACCTGGCATAATAATATGTAATAAATATATAGAAAAAGTATATTAAAGAGATAAGCCAAAAATCTCTTAAAATTAAAGATAAAATCTTAAAAAATAATAATACATGTTAAATAGTTTAGACTATATATATAAATATCTGAAAATATCCTGGCATGCTAAAAGACATATAAGATAAACTTATTAAAGAAAATAATTAAATTATATTGGAAAAAAGAAATGTAGAGATTAGCTAAAGAGAAGATAAACTCTTGATATAAGGAATATCTTCAAGCTAAAACTTTATCAACTTTCATAAAAAGATATATATTTTCTTATAAGAATATAAAAAAGGGCTTATATATAATTTTTGGCCATTTTCTAAATGATTATTTCGTATTATTTACATGAATTTCATTTTGCATCTGTGAATAAATCGCACGATTTGTGCTCAGATGCAATTTGCTTTGCTTTGGTTTTGATTTGTGCAACAAGCGAAATTTAACGAGCGTTTCTAAAAATGCACAGGCCATAAACAAAAAGAAACGAAAATGAAAAAGAAAAAAAAACAAAATCAAAATAAATACGAAAATGCGGCAAATGCGAGAAAAATGGCAAAATAAATAATGTAAAAATGTTGCAGAAAAAAATAACTTGGTTGAATGCCAAAAATGATCGACGCAAGCAGATTTTCAATATGGCTGCCATATATACATATATGTCATATATATATGCGAAAATTGTAAAATATAATTGGCAAAGTGTATATAAACGGATATCTAGAGCTCGAGCTGATTGCATAAGCGCCTTGTGGCAAATAGACGTGCCACATGCCGCGCACAGTCGCCGAAACAGAGCTGCGTGGGCGGGGCAGCTGGTGGGTTAGAGTGAAGGGTATTGTCTTGTGCATACAAAGCAATTCAAGGACACGTTCATGTTCAATTGCCAGGCATTTAGCAGGCATTAAATGCGGCAGGCACAGCGAGCCAGAGAGAGAGAGAGGGAGATCAGGCAGCATGTTGTCACAGGGCAAACGCGGCGTATGTGTGATATTTATGCATGCCCCCAAAATGCAGCCTGCTGCAGCAGCCGCCTTAAAATGCAGCCACGTCCTTGCCGTGGATTTTGTGGCAACTGCCAGTGCTCGAGCTTCTGCTCCAGCTGCTGCTCTCGCACTCTCCTACGGCGCACACACGGCGAACGCCACTTGGGGCACGTGCGCCAACGTGCAGCTCGCCGGAATCGCAATCGGAGGCGGACTCGGATTCGGATTCGGCAGCTGTCGCGGTCTCGGCCCGCGTTCTCTGGCGCTCGGTGCTCAGTTGATGTTGGTTTCTCGTGCTGTGTGGTTCGCATTTTGTCATACAAGTTCGTTTATTCCGTGTTTCAAACTGTGAAAACTCAACTGTTTTGAATTAGGTAAAAGTCCAGACATGATTTTATTAGCTGCATTTACTACGCGCACAGCCATCCCACACACCCTGCCCCCACCCCCTAACCCTGCCCCTGTCCAGATACGTAGGCGCTATTTAGGTTCTTAAAGTCAATTACATAAAACTTATACAGGTGCTTGCCAGGTGTGCAAATGACTCGGTCTGAAGAGTATTTGACCCCTTCTTGGCGCCACTTCCGCTCTAAGCACACATAAACTACACCTCAACATATGTAAATATGTGTATATATATATGTTTATTTATTTACATTTGTCTCTAATTTATCTGCATATTTCGCTTTTGTTTTCACGCCGGACCCCATCAAAATGTTGCCCCCAAAACTATTTATTTCGGCCTGTCTGCGGCGTCAAAGTCAAAGGCTATTTTTTATGTGTGTTTATATGTATCTGCTCGACATTCATCCATACATATATCCATATACATATATATGTATATATACGGCTCTTGTCTTTTGTAAATACTCATCTTTATTTGTTTTGATTATGAATATGTGTTTTTTTTTTTATGAAAGTCGCGCATTGTTGACACGCGAAATGTCCATTTCAGCTAATATAACGAAGCATCTGTTTGGCACCAGCCAATTAGTGTTTGTATACCCTGTATATCCTGCTCAGTCGGGGTATATTGATACAGTGTGCCTACTTGCTGAAGTAGATGAAGAAAAGCACCCTGTATGCAACAATTAGATACTCAAGAGGATTATGAAATAAGAATTGTGTGTGAAATATACTTTATTTTCATTTAATTTATTTCATATTTCTCATAATAATCTTATCTCATTATTCTCTTACGCAGCTGAAGTATATTACTTTTGTATACAGGGTGTTCTTCCTGTTTATTAGTCTAGACTAATGCCATAATTGTTCTTGATCTTTGCTTATGTTTGTTTTTTTTTTTTTTAATAAAATTGTTAAGTAAATTGATGTTTAGAATTTAGGGTAAATATAACGGTTCGTCTTAGTATCCATTCTACGCATAATACAGGGTGCCTTCCAGTCTATTATGCATAGGCAATATCCCATTCGCCTGGCAAATGTTGCCAACTTTTTCAAAGGCCACTTGATACTCAAGGTCGCATTAGATGAGATCACTGGAAATGTCTTCCAGACGCTTCCAGTTAGACAAGTGAGAATAGGCATGATATATGCATGATTTGTAAGTCGCAATTTCTTCATTTAACGGTTTTTGTTTGTTTACCGTTTTTCGATTTCTCGCATGATGTAACATTGTTTATCAATTGACCAAATGCACTTTTCGAAAAAAAAGAAATAATAATAAAAATAAAAATCATATTCCAATATACCATATGCATATTTACATATGTATATCTGGAAACAATTGGCAACTCAATTGAAAAATTGAAATACAAATCACAGATGCGGCAGATTCACAGATGTGCAATTGGATTTTCTCGTGGTCTTTACGAGGGCGTCAGTTGATCAATTTTCAAGCTCATTTTCTATTTTCCATTTATATGCATAACTGCATGTGTGTGTGTGTGTGTGTGTGTTTGTTTGTTTGTTTGTGTGCATATCTATCTAGGTGCATGCATGTACTTTGCTCAGTGGCTGCAGAATTCTAGAACATTCCGGCTGTGTACATTATTAAATAAGAACTTGACAAACGCAATTGAATCGTGCATGGTGCTCTTTGTCGCCCTTTTGTCAGCTGTCCTGCATCGTTTTATCAGCTGGTTGCAAATTAAATGTGATTGAATATAATTGTTGCGTTCTTTCAGCATTTGATTGTGCAATCCGTATTGCGGGCAGGTTGATTTTTATTCATTATAATTACTTTTTACTTTTGTTACATTTTAAACGCTTATTCATAATTGAAATCAACAAATTTAAACCTTTTCTCTCTCTCTCTCTCTCTCTGTCACCCTCTGCCACTCTCCTTCTGTTATTCATACGTCTTACTCACTCCGGCTTGCTTGCTCTCTTTGCAGCTATGGATATGAACAAGCGAATTGCCAACATGGATTCAATTATTTATAATAATGAACGCATAATAATGCAAAAGCATTAGAAAACCAAATAGAGTGAATTAACATAGTAAGAATAAACCGACAAGCCAAAAGCTATAGTAAAAGGCACAGTCAACTCTTTGTTAAAATAAATAACTCTTCGCAATTGTCAAATCAAAGAAAAGAGAGCGACGAAAAGAGAGCGCGCGAGCGCACTTTGCTTTTGTTTACACGCCCATTTGTGCGTTCGAATAGCAATTGCAACTATAACTAAATTACGAAAGCAAATATTTACACAGACTTGGCAAACAAATCAATTGAGTAATTAATTAAACAAATTTCAACAGCAACGTTAATACAACTATTTAAGCGGCTTGCATCGCGGCAAATTCCAACAACAGTTAAAGAGTTTGCGCAAATGTAAAGAGAGCGCAGGCAATTGCTATTGCACTGAGAGGGGCGCAAATACACACATAAAGAGGGCAAACAGGCTGCTCGAAAATACGCAACACACACGCATACACCCGCACATACACACGAACATAGATTCGTCAACAAATTTCGTTGACTGCTCCAAAGTCTCGTGCTTGCTCTGTGTGGCGCTGTGCCGCTGCCTTCCAGATAGAAATTGAGTCTCTCGCGTGACACAACGTGCGTCCAAACGAGCGGAAAGTTTTCCTCAGTGTGCGTGACGACTGTTTGAAGTTTGCTCTGTTTTTCTTTCTTTGCTTTTTGTTGCTCATTCGCTTGAGCAGCATCAGCAGCAGTAGCAGCAGCAGCAGTAATCGCCGCCCCCCCACCGAAGCGGCAGTCGGTCATTGAAAGCCAAATTTTGCATGCGTGAAAATTTGCAATGCAAAACTATTTCGTCTAACCGTCAAAGTCAGAGGCAAATCAACATACAAGTTAAAGAAAAAACGTGCGCAATAAATAGTGACATTTAAAATAAAAACAACAATTTAAAAAATAAAAATAAAGTAAAAACGCGAGTGTACAATATCGATTTTTTTTAAGCAGCAACGCGCGTCGATGACCTCGACGACAACGACAGCTACAACGGTATAAAAGCAAAAGCTGCGCGACGCTAACGCTTTTGCCCAAATCCAATTGAGCCACGTTTTACATAATTGCCCAAGCGCATAAAGCGACGAACGCAACAAAAACAAAAACAAAAACCAAAACCAAACTAGCAAAAGCACAAATTATAACGGCGTCCGCAAACCGAGTGCAAGTGGAAAAACATTTTGCGGCTGGCAGAAGAAGGCGAAAAAGTAGCACAACACTTCCAGAGAGCGGCCCAAGCAGCTGCAGTCGAAAATCACAGAGACACATGCTTAGATATCGGCTCGTCTCCACACACTTCCTAAAGCAGCCGTAGTCAGCCCACAGGCAACGCCAGTGGGAGAGGGAGAGCTACAGCGAACGAGTGTGAGAGCGAGTGAGCCAGCGTGCAGCAACAACTGCAGCCACAGAAACATAACAAGAGCGAGAGAGCGAACTGAGCGACAGATTGAGCGCGACGTCACTGGAAAGGCCGATCGCAGGATACGAATACGAGGCGACGGCATACAAAAAGTACGTCAGGTGCGCCGGCTGTGCTCATTCACGTGCCGAACGTTGCAGTGCGAGGAGCCCTGTGCCCGGATTAAGTGAACGGCGTTAAACAAAAAATAAACGGTATCCACACAATATTGAATTGGGGATTTTCGGTTAATTGATTAGCATCAACGCTTGAACCGCAACAGTTGCAGCAGCTTGCAGCAGAGGCGGCATTGAAATTTGCATCTAACGGGCCCTATAATTCAGTCACAACGTATTCGCTAGGAGTTCTACGCCTACTCGGTTTGAGCTGTTTTAATTTAGATAGCGAAAATGTGCAGAGATCGCGATATGAGTTTGTCATAGATCAGCGCAATCGTCAGTACAAGGTTAAGAAAAAAATTAAACTGATGTTAAACTGAATGTTAACGGCCTGTCAAAGAGCGAGAGAGAGACAGCGAGAGAGCGCGCCTTGGACCAATCAACAACAACAACAACAACAACTGCAACAACCAGGACGTCTACTCACGATCCAAGCTAAAATACCAAAGTTAACAATTTAAGCCTAAAACATCAGCCATTTAGCTAATTCAATCAATCGATCAATCAATCAATCAATCAATCAATCGATCAATATTAACACCAAGCACAAGGATCACCAATTTGCATGTGTGTGCGTGTGTGTGCTCGCCGGAGTGAAAAGCGTGAAATGTGACTATTTTTTCCACCCTCCCCCCCCGTCAACAACTATTGACAATTGCCTCGCACGCAGAACAGAGGCCAAGTGGAAGTTTATCGATTCTCGGAGTGCGTTTCAAAATAATTCGTATTATAACTGTTATTACTATTACTTTTATTGTTCGTGCTTTGTGTTAAGTTTTAAAAAACGTCGTGCAGCTGGCGAACGTACGTGGAAAAATCAGCAAAATTGAAGACTTTGCGAGAAATCTTTGGAAGTCCGTTAAGGCTTGCGTTGTAAGTAAATTTATTGTAAATCTTTAACTGTAGATAATTATGATTTGGTAATTTTCCACGCGTTTATCAACACTCATGGAATTTTCCCGAAACACTTTTGAATGTTGACGCACTTTAGAAAGGGCAGCTATTCTGATAAAGGCAGCTACCTAACTGGCTCTTGAGAGTTTTTTGATCTTTAATCTGTTGGTCATTCGACAGAAACAGCTTCTCATTTATCAATCAAGGCTTTAACCGGATTTACAGCATTTACAGATACACTTTAAACATTTTTTTTTTTGCAATTAAACAGATTTTTTAATTATATAATGTTTAACAGAGATTCGAACTTAGGCAAAAACTATTTGTTCATAATTGCAATTGCAATTGCAAAGAAATATTTTATAAGAAAATTATTTTATTTATTTACATTTTTGATGATAATAAATAATAAATAAATTTATTTATTATTTACAGAAAACACTTTCAGAAAGTCATTTTCATACAAAATAATGTAAAATATACAAAACATTATTTCGGTAAAAATATTACATTAAATATAGAACGAACTTCAAATCACTTGAGAGGTCTAGAGCTGATGTTCCACTCCCACTCTCTCTCTCTCCCCCTTACTCGCACTTTCTCTCTCTCTCTCTTTCAGTCGTTATCTCCCGTCTGCCGGCTGTTAACTTAATTAACTAACCTGACGTCCGTCTGTCACAATTATTGATAATCCATTTCACACATTTGTTCTGATTGTTGCTAATCGTGTTGGATTTCATTTATGATATTGTTATAAAGAAATTCACACCTTTTGCATTCGTAAGCGTAAGCGTAAGCGTTGCCAGGCACAAAAATCCAACTTCATAGGAACCGATTATATATTGTGCGATGTGCGGGACCAAGCGCAGTTGTTGTTGATAAACAACACTTGGACTTTGCTGGCATTATACACACATATATAGGATTTTGGTCAAGCATGATTGATATCCAATTTGTTCACAGTCTGGCAGAGCCAAACACAAACACAAACCCTACATACTATTATTAAGCAGATAATGGTGGCAAGCATATCTTTCTAATGTACTCGCGTTTTTCCAACTGATTTTCCATAATATTTCCATCGAATCGATTTATTTCTGTTATTTCTTTTTTTAATGTATATTTTCTCTTTGTTTACCCTTGAGTCATCATTGAAAAGGCTGTGGACTAGTACAAACTAGTACAGTGTAAACTCTACAAGTGGACAGCTCGATTCAGTTGTATATTTATTATTATTTGACATATTATTTACTATTTACTAAAACAACTTTGTTTTAAACAGTGAAAATATCTTGTACATGTTGTAGCTGTTCACCCGGCACAGTCTTCACTGTACTCTCTCGCTGTCTCGTTCACACTTGGCTCTCTCTTTTCCGGTTCTGTGCATGGAAAATTATGTGCCATAATTTGGACGATTGCTTTTTGGTTATAAATTTTCCATTTGGGTAATGCGAATGTCCCAATATTTGTTTGTTGTTTCAACCTGTTCTCACTTTTATTGCTGCTGTTCTTTTTGTTTTTGTTGTTGTCGTGGGGTTACAAACTGTTGCGTGCTTTTAGGCACGCCTTGGCCCCCGTCCACCTTCCCGACTCTATCCAAATAATTTATTTACTAGCAACCAGTCTTCACGTCACAGTCCCTGACGTGCAGTCCACATTATTTGTGCCTGTTAACCCAAAAAATTACAAGCTCGGTTGCACATTCTATATTAGGCAAGTCAATAAGACATTTGCTTATAATCAAAATATGTACAAAGTGAAGGTAGTTCGTGCCCAATACTGGACTGCCTTAACATAAAGTCTTATTTACATATATGTATATTATTATATACCTACCTTAAGCTAAACATACACATTACGCGGGAGATAGACAGAATGGAGGTATCGAACCAGAAAGAGAAAGAGAAAGGGAGAGGGAGAGAGAGAGAGAGAGAGTGTCAGAGAGAGAGAGTGTGTGTGAGCAATAGAATGTAAAAGAGTTGGATGAGTTTGCAACCCTTACCTGCATTTATGAGAATCGCATAGAAAGGCTGTTAAAATATTATTTGTATATACAGATGCAGATACAAATACAGATATATATGTATGTATATATTAACGGGCAATACACTTAGGGCTCTAATTCGATGGTGTCAACTTGTAATTTGGCCCAGAAATACATTTCGCATTCACACGGCTGTTGAGCTCAATTAACAAACCGATCCAACAAGAAAATGTGTGAATTTTTCTATAATTAGATAACACACAGACTTCGCATGTGTAAAAATATATTACGTTGTTTATTTCGCAAGCGATTTTAAAATGAACAAAAAAGTCGAATTTTATTTTTAGCGATATGGTGTGAAGAAATCTGAATTTGTTTAATATATGAAGAACACGGGCAATTAGAAGAAACAAAAAACGTTTATTAGCAATACCCTAGAGCAAATTATAATCGTGGAATGTTTGCATATTAAATGATTTTATTAGTAGATTTATATTTTTTATTTATTTTTCTTATAACTTGTTTTAGAATTGTGAGCTTATTTAATTTTTTGCCTAATTAAACTTCTCTTGATTCACTTGACTTTTATCGACTTTAGACTAATTTAGTTTCTCTTCAAGTTCTCAAAGTGCGTACAGGGCATCCTGCAGTCGTACCCTTTGCCTTAAATTATGCTCATTTGTTTTCATAAACAGCATTTAGCATCTTTTAAAATGAGATATTGCTTCTCTCTCTCTATCTCTCGCTCTCGCTCTCTCATCTCGACAATCTACAACCTCGATTATTTTAATATCTAGTGTTGGCAGCGTGATTATGCGAAAACAATATAAAAGACTAAGCGGCATTCATTAACAATTGTTTCTGACTTGGTCACGAGGCCAGGCGTCTGGTTTTCGGCATGGGGCATGTTAATGGATCCGACTCCAACTGAGTAAGTAGTACCCAGTACCGGGGGCACAGTCAGTACCAGTCCGGCAGTTGGCACGTGGTGACAGTTGGTAACCGCAACGGCGTGCTCCAAAATCAAATTTATGCATTTGCCAAATGAAGGAATGCAAAAAACAAAAAAAATCTATTTTAAATGCCTTAAATTGAGAAACCTGTTCGCCTTCAATGGGGCACATAAATCAAGGCAAATATACTATGCGATTTTCTTTGAGAATCTGTTCGTTTCGTCGAATTTGCCTTTAATTCTTTATCAACGCTTGACAAAGTTCACGAAACTGGAAAGAAAAGAAATTTAATGCAAACCGCCTGCTCTGCTTTCAATTGAACTTGATTGATTTTAACGAAATGCGAGTAAAAATACGACATTTTCCATATTAATTGAGAGACAGCACAAATCATCAATGAAATGCAACCGCTGATTGCGTCACGTGCGGCCAATTATTTAAAAAGCAAAAAAAAAAAAGTAAATAATAACAATAATATTAATAAAAAAGGCAATCGCATAGAGTAGGCGTAATCACAATCGTCAACGTACTTTGCCCCATTTCAATTCCCAGCTGCCAGTTTTCAATTCCCATTAGCCGATTCCCTGTTCTGCTCTTGCTTGGTTTTCATTTCCATTCGCTTTTCATGCATATATTAAATATTCTGTTGTTTTTCCTGCACATTCGTTTGTCGTCGCATTAATTTGTGCTCTGATTTATGTGCTCAATTTGGGCTTTGTATTCCTTGTGATCGCTAAGCCTTTGTCTACTTACAAAGAAGGAATCTATATTTTCCATTCTATGAAGATATTTTCTCAGCTCACCTGTAGAAAGAAAGAAAATTAGTAAATTATTCATATTAAATAATACGCTTATTAAGAGTATGCTTCATCATATTTCGTGCTTCTCAGTTGTTTTTTTTTTTATTAATCGCATCCTCAAGGCGAGTTTATAGATCTGTCCTGATGCCAATTGTAAAATAATTGTTCACCTTTAAACATCTCATTTATTTTTATAGGGCATGCGCAGTTCGTTGTGCTCATAAATTTCACACAAATTTGTCTAATTTGCCTGCCCATAAACATTATTAATTAAAATTTTTGTGTATTTCGCATTTGCATTTTATGTTTTGCCTGGTTTTATTCCGCTGACATTTGCAGACACAAGCGCACACACCTCGCCCACACACACACGCACTCAGACACAACAAACATGACGTCAACAACAGCTCTTCATGGTTTCTCGGTTGTCTTTACGCTCTTGTATTGCCCAATTCTCGGCGACGCCGCACGTGACTCACATTAAGCGCATTTTGTGGCAAGAGCTGAAATGAGTATAGATCTAATGACAGAGTAAAGTTTGGTAATTGGTTTGTTTAGTCGATGGTTGCTAAATTGATTGATGCCTCACGACTGCGGGCATTGATAAGGCCAAAAGCCAAATGGAAATGTACCAAAAATAGCAAGAAATAAATATAGAAATCCTATAGAAATGTACAATCAATATCTGATTATTTCCAGTATGGACAGCCTGTTCAGTGTTGCGGCTGCTCTTCCATTAAAAAAGAAAGCCGTATAAGGCCTAACGAATCTCAGATGTTATCGGACTGATGTATGGCCGGGCGTTTAATTATTTTCGTCTGGCACATTAATTAGGCGCTGTCACGATCGATACGTAAGGATAATGTAACGCTGCGCTTTGAGTACTTCGAATACTCGTACATCTACGTTTAGTACTCATAGATATACTGAGCTATTGACAAGCGCTTAAGTATTGTGCTGCACATTAATTAGCCACTGTCAGCGCAAAAACCACCTAGTACACTTCGAGTACTCACAAAACTCATACATGTACGTTAAGTACTCACACACGTGCATATAAGTAAAAACAATACTCATACATATAAATTCATACATTCATTAATATGCGCACATATATTGATGCCTCGGCACGCGTTTAGTTGCCACCAAAACTATTAAGAACCATCGAAATATACATACTCGAGTAATCGATATACTCACACCTTTAATCAAAAGTACTCCAACTGAAGAATGCAGCATTGAATATGATTTCCCCGCTGAAATATAGCGTGTTTAAGCCGTTTAACACGCATTTGTTGACTACAATTGTTAATACAATTACCCAAACGATAAAGAGCGAAACGATAGCCCGGAGCAGATCTGGGCCGGTAAAGAGTGCTGCTGCTGCGATTACCGGCAAGTGCTGTAATCACCTGTCACCGGTTTGAGCCGGTCCAGACTGGCGTTAGGCAGTCTGGTCCGGCATTTAACCGCTTTGGCTGTTGTAGCCTTTCGCCCGGTGAATCTTATCAACAAATGCGCTGAGCAAGGTGAAAAAAAGACGAATTTTCAATATTTGCACGCCATGCGCCCAATAAACATTTTCAGGCTGTATGGGTCTAATGATTTTCTGGGAATTTATGTAACAGGCCGAAGGAGACATCTGGGAGCCCTGCAGATTCTGTTTCATGGAATCGTTGATTAGCTCAGGTCACGCATTCTCTAAGCAGCATACGTTCCTGGAGGTCACAGTGCGAATGCGAATGCGTGGCACACATGCAGATTCATCTCCATGCAGCTTCTTGATATCCTACGGATCCAATTTCTCATAACAATTTTGCCTGATCGAGATTGTCAAATCGTTTTACTTTGAGCATCGCTGAAATTGTTGGGTTACCGCTCAAAAATAGCGGCGCGAATCAAGTTAATATCAAATGATCGATAGCTCACCTCGAAATCGATGAATATGGATTTGCATATTAAGTTTTTTAACCTTTGCTGGCAACTTGAAGGACTTTGAGCTATATTAAATTTGGTATGTAGACTCTTTTATAGTGCATTTAGATGCAGATGCATAAAAGTTAGTTCAAATCTTCTGTAGAGGGTAGCTCGGGGTAGCTGCAATATGTTGTACGACTTTGTGTATAAAAGTTAGTTCTTTGTAGGAGTGCAGCTTGTCGATATTTTCAGGGTATCCGTTAGTCGCATACGCTTGAGAAAAGTATTCTTACTTTAGTTGTTTTCTTTTTTGTTGCGTTGATGACGTTGAATTTACACGGATTTGTTAAAATGCGCACATCGCGTATACGCCGCTTGTTACCATTTTAGCAGTACACTGCGACTAACTGTTGCTGAGCGTGTGTTTATGTGTGTGTGCTCGCTTATGTGTGTGTGTGTGTTGCTGTGTGTGTGTGTGTGTGTGTGTGTGTGAGATGCTGTTGCCGTGCACGTAGTAAGCCAAAAGCCCATGACTTTGTTTTCGCGCCCGGAGATGCGAGGTAAACAATTTGATTAAAGCGCGTGTCCGGGCCACTGAGATTGTTATTGTTATTGTTATTGTTCCCTGTTACAAATGTTAACTCTATGGCGCCCTGTCATAGTTCAATAACGTTGCCTCACTAAATTCGGACCACAGAATTCTGGCTATACAATTGCCCAGAATTCGCTAGAAATTTGCAACTGGATATACAAGAATTTCACATTTGTCAATATTATGTGAAATTTGTGGAAACGCTTTTCGCGCATTACATGTGCAAACAATTGGCAATTTTGTAAGCCAGCTAATATGTAAACAAACACATAACAGCTTTAAGCTGGGCATGACGCACACCTTTTTTCGGCCTCTTATCAAAAGTGTGCAACACATTTTTGTATTCTGCATTTATTGATTGGCTGGCTACCAGTTTATCAATTTTTTTTTTTTTTTATCATTATTTGGCTGCTGCTTATCAGCTGCTGAACTGAAGCACAACACTTTTTTGCTGTTTTTCATAGTAAAAATCGAGGTTGGGTTTTTTTTTTGTTGCGTCATGAGCTTGCAACATTTTATCAATTATGTTAATTAGTAATTGCTTAAATGCATTTTGTTGAACTTGCAATTGATATTCGAAGCGTAATCTTGTTGTGTTTTGTTTCTTCTTCTTTATTTTGTTTGCGTCTGTCTTTTTGTGAGTCATCAACAGCTGCCACAATTGGCGGCATAAACAGTCGTTAAGTCAGCGAATTTCTCTTCTTATAACATAAACAATTGGTCAATGCAATGGAATACTCACAAAACGAATTCATAAGTCTATTAATAACTATGCTAGGGCGTGTTTTTATAACTAGATCCGGGTATGTAAAACATACAAATAGCAAACATCTAAATTTATAAGTCTTTCATTTAGAATTCCAGTCAAATTCATGTTACCTTGATTTAAATTCTTTTTATTATAGGTAATTTTGTCAAGTCATAGAAAAAAACATGATTATAGTCATATATTTATTTAAATGGACTTTAAATTGATTTAAAGTCTTTTTAAAAGGTTTCATGAGCTTCAAAAAAATTTAATTTATTAATATAGTATATGTTAGCTCAAACGAAATCGGAATTAATTTAATTTTTTTTAAATTCACTTTTTTTTTATCATTTATAATATTAATATGTAAAAAAAACTGAAATCTGATATTGTCCTGGCGCAGCCAACTTAATTACCAACTTTTATAAGCCCTGGCGCAGCCAACTTAATGCTCCACTGTTATTTATTAGTGTTGCCAGACAGCTTTATTAGCAGCTATTTATTTAAGAATTTCGCCAAATAACTGCCAAAAATCAACTTCAATTTAGTTATTGGCATTGCAATATGTATAAATATAAAAATATATATTATTCTATTTGCATTGCTGTCATATTATTGCACATTAATTTTGCGCTGTCAACGCTGAGAAATCCCTTTAAGAAAAGCCCCTATTTCCGTTATGTCTTCAAGTTGACTCCAATTAATTTGATAAGCATTAATGCGGGGCTTCCAGAAGCTAGCCCCACGGCGCATTGTAAGGCTTTGCACGCGCCTACATTTATCGACTGGGGTGTCCTTTCTGTCCACACAATTGGGGCGGGCACAACTGCCGGCGATCACGTCGTCCATATTATGGGGAAACGCACACCCTTCTACCCCTGCCCCATGGTGGGCCATGCCTCGATTGACGTCAGCGGCGCGTGGGCTTTAATTGTCATTCGTTGAGATTCTTATTTTGTTGTTGTTGCGGCTGTCTCTCTGTGTCGCCTGTTGTCTGTTGCTGTTGCTGTTTCTGTTGCTCTTGGAGCACACACAACAAATAATTGAGTGTGTAACCCAGAGGCAGGTTGATTGACACAGTTCTGCTTTGTACAATGGGCAGCTGCTGATGCGGCTGCTGCGGCTGCTGCCTCAACATTAATTAGCTAATTGTACAGTTTGTTGCCTTAGTTTTAGCTGTGTGACCTTTGCAGCATTGTGACATTGCACTTGAATGTTTGTTGTTGCGGAAGTTGATGTTCAAGTGTTTATTTTGTGCGCCGTTTGCATATCGAATGTTGTTTTTAAGCCCAAATTAAATGTGTGTGCGCTGCCGTTTTTATTTCTTCCTTTTTTTTTTTCCATTTTGGGCATAAACAAGTGCATAAATTGATAAACATGCTCATAAACACGCACAAAAATTAGCGTGATTTATTTTTAAAAGTTCCCCTCCTGCGCTCGATAAACAATTAATTCACAACAGAGCAATATCAAGCATACGCCCGGTGTGTCGGCTGATAAGGTCAGCCAAGTCAGCCTGTCTGCAGTCTGGCGCGCGCGGCCTTTTTTTTTTTTTTTTTGCATAGCTTTTGTCCATAGAAATTTCACACCTGTCGCCTCGCCCTCTCTCCCCCCGCTCTACTACCTTACTCTCTTGGCGGTGCTCGGCTCATGATCGATTTGTGTTGATTTTGCGCACGCGCCGCTCTCTCGCTCTCGCTTTCTGCCTCTCTTTCGCGCTCTCTCTCGCTCTCTCTCTCGCTATGCCTCGAGATTTTTTCGCATATAATTCGCGAGGTCGCGGCTGAAATGTATTTAATCGCATTTCGGCGCGCGCAGAGAAAACAACGTTCCAAAATACTCGAGTGCTCGGACAAAAAAAAAACAAAAAAAAGAAAAACTCTTTTTTCACAAATCATGTGAAATTCGCAATGCATTTAAATTGTGATTAGGCACAATTTTTAAATGCAATAAAAAACAATACGAAAGAAAAGGAAACATTAAACCTCAACTTGGCCAAAAAGTGGCCAGAGTCAAAAATTGTCAATTGATTTCGATTGAAATTAATTGCAACTGAAGTGATTTCTATATTTGTGATAAATTTCTTCAATTTGTGATATTCAAAGTACCTTTAACAAAAAAAAAAAAAAAACACAGACTGATACGCTTAAGGCTTAAAACGTTATCAAAATGACGCCCAAAATAATTACATATTTTCTGGTAAATAGATAAAAAAAAATACGTTTATTGAATTTTCACATTATTTGTTAATTTATGAAAATGTTGTGAAATTGTGTGTCGAATAAAATGCCAAATTTTATGATTATATAATCGATATTTTTTATATAATTATAAAATAAATACCTGGGCAGCTTATATGATGGCCAGGCATATATTTATTTAAATTCTTCTTATATATATTTTATTATTTGTATATCTTTATTGGAAGTTTTTTTTTATTTACCTTTATTACCTTTATTGGAGCTTAATCGAAGCACAAGGGCAAAGGATACGCTAATGTTGCCACAAATTTTATGTAGGATTTTGGGGAAAATATTAAAAAGTTCTTAATATTATTTAAGTTACATTTTTTTATAAATTTGCTGTATGTGTAAAATAGTTAAGCCTGTACATTTAATCGAAGAACTTATAGAATTTGAAAAGGAAGAGAAAATGCTTCGGCCTGAAAAAGCAAGTCAGAACCGATTGATTATAAATAATGAAATAATATATATATAAAATAATGTTTATCATTATTATATTCTATATTCAAATAAATTATCATAATGATTTTAATTATAATATATATCTTATCAATATATCCTTATCAAATATTTTTACTTTAGCTACATCAGTTTGCCAGCTGAATTATTTTCATTAATATATTGCTCTATTTCTATCATGCTCTGACTAGTTGATGTACTACATAACTAATAATTTAAGCAATACACTTAGTCATATGTCAGCATGGATTAAATGCATTCCTGAGTTTCGCTGTAGTTCTCAACAAAAAAAATGTCACTAAACTATTTGAACAAGCTCGACAAATGAAGTCTTTAATTGCAACCTGTTGACTGTTAATTACTTAAGCCCAACGTAGCCAGGCAGTCGACGCCTTGTGGCAGCATGACGTTGCAAGTATTTGGTATATTACTCATTACTCATAGGACTCATATTAACCCACTTAATGGACAGCTCACTGGGCGAGTGAATGCCGCCGCCTGACATTAAACATTTACTGTATTCAATTATTTATGGCTTGGTTTTGTGTGGGCAAAGTATTTTTCAAATTTTCACTTACTTTTCGCTTGTGGAAATTCGTTGAAACACTTGCTCAATCATGTTTGATGTAGAGCTTTAAAAATAATTTACAATTGGCCAAATATGGCATTATTTAGATTTAGCTTAACTTTGAGCTGTTTATTGTTGAAAAGTCAGTCAGTCAATCAATCAATCAGTTAGTCAATCAATCACGGCAAACTTTTTTTGTACATAAAAATTGATCAGTTTTTCACACATTAACCGCTCGTAGAAATTTAAATAAGCGCGGGTTCAATCATTTTTGATGGAGATCTTTGATAGTGTATTAAATATGGAATTATATAATAAATCAATCAGTCAGTCATGCATTTACCGCTCGTGGAAACACGTGTTCAATCATTTCTGATGTAGATCTTTCAAAATAAGTTAGGAAATTATTAGAACTCAGCTTATTTTAGACTTTGCTACGCGTTGATGATTAGTCAGTCAATCAATCAATCAATCAGTCAATCAGTCAAGGCAACTCGTTTTTTATACATGTGTATATATATAATAATTAGGCGTTTAGTTCGCATCATGCGCTGGCAAAGGCTGTTTAATTAATGACTCGTGACGGCGAACGTCTCGTGACGCAGCACCACGCGGCATATGAGCAATCTTTCAATTTATATAAATTACTAATATTTATGTTGTTGTTGTTGTTCTTTTCTTTTTGTATTGCAGTGCGGCATGCGACATCCCACAACTGGCCTTAACGAAGACGACCTAAGTCGTCTCACTGGTTCATCCTCATCATCTTCGTCGAGCGCTTCGTGCGGCAGCGCCGCCTGCTCATCCTCATCGTCCTCCTCTGCCGCCTCCGGCGTGGCCGCCAAGCAGAAGCAGCAGCAGCAGCAGCAACAGCAGCCGGATATTTGCGATGTGGTGCAGCTCTCGAATATGGAGGCGACAACGCCACGTTTCAATTCCACCTACCTACCCGAAATCATAAATCCACTGGAATGGCAAAAGTCACGGAAGCGCAAGGAGCGCCTGGACAGCTGCTCGGCGAGCAGCCAGGATCGCAAGCTACAGCGCAGCAACAGCGAGGAGCTGCTCACCGAGCCGGAGCCAACAACAGCAGCAACAACAACAACAACAACAACAATAGCAACTGGAGCAGCAACAACAGCTCCCAATTCCCAATTGAGGTCCGCACACTGCGAGGTCATACGACGCGTCTCCTCGGAGGATTTCAAGCGCACGGCCAGCTATGCCAGCTATTGCCAGGAGTTTGAGCGCGATGCAAGCGCCGACTTGCCGGCAGAGAACAGCGAGCAGCAGGAGAACAATGCGGCGCTGGCCAATGTGACGCCAGTCAATGGCAATGCGGAGGCGCTCAAAGATCGCGCACGCTACGAGACAAGTCCGGCACGCTCCCAGCAGCAACAGTTGCAGCTGCAGCAGCAGCAACAGCAGCAGCAGCAGCAGCAGCGCGAGGCTAGCGATGACAGTGAGTGCGAGCATGAGCGTCGCCGCAGCAGCGAACGCTTCTGCAAGTCGCGTCAGCCACCGGTGCGCAAATCCGGAGTCAGCAAGAAGCCCAGCACGGCTGGGAAGTATCTGCCCTCAAGGCGGGACGAGCAGAGCGCCTACAAGTACGATCTATCCGCGCTCAAATACGAGCGACGCGGCTTCATCAGCAGCAAGAAACAGCAGCAACAGCAACAGCAGCAGCAGCAATCCACAGCAGCAACAGTTGCCGATCACAACGACAACAATCTAATCGACTTCCATCAGCAGCAGCAACAGCAGCTCCAGGCAAAGCACAGCGCCAGCATCTCGCCCACGCCGACGACAAGCAGCTCGTGCAGCTCGGCAGGTGGCAGTGATGACAGCACACCAAATCCGGCGCCAATCAAGGCTAAGCCGCCGCAGCGTCAACAGCAAACGCTCAATCTAACCTCGGCACAGGAGTCGTTGCCCTGGGAGCGCGGAGATGAGCCGGCGCCCGTGCTGAGTCGCCGCTATGCGCATTCCCGGCATCATGCGGGCAACATCGATGCGGATGCCAAGCTGGCCAAGGTGATGCCGTATCCGCAACAGCAGCCCAAACAGGCGGCCAGCGTGCAGCTGCTCGGCGAGGACATGGACTGTCTGGAGCCCATGGATGCAGTGCGTGCGTTTAGCTCGCTGGAGAATATGCGCACACGCGACGTCATGCAGCAGGTGGTGCCCGCCATGATGGCCTTTCAGACGCCCGAGGAGCGCGTCAAGGCCATCAATCGACGCGTGACCGCGCTAAAAAAGAAACTCGTCCAGCTGGAGGATTCGCTGGAGCAGCGGCTCGGCTATCGGCCCTCGCAGGCGGAGCGTCTGAACGACAAGTACATGAAAAACGCGCTCGCCGAGCTCAGCAAGCTGCGCAAGGAGCGTCACGAGCTTAAGACTGATCCCATTGCAGCCCTCGGCCTCAAGGTCGGCGCCAGCGGCTGCGGCGTCGGCGTCGGCAGCGGCATCGCTGCCAGCGGCCAGGAGGCAGCCAAGAAACTGGAGCGCATGAAGAACACCCTCAGCGAAATCGAGCAGGTAAGGGGGAGAGGCCAAATACCAAAACAACAGCTCATCAGACAAATTATATGGCCAACAACACGGCCGGGCGGATGACGTCAACGATTTTATGGTGTCTGTCAAATTTGGCAAAACATTTCATTTTGCTCACATTTCGAACGCAAGTTTGAAACGAAAATTCAAATAATAATGTGACAGAAAAGTCTATTTAAGTGCCAAAGAGGAAATATTATCATGTGATCGCAAAAAGGAAATTGATATAGGGTATACGAGAGGGAAAGGAGCTCATATTAGGAAGGGTGGAGTATAAACAAATGTATGGGTATAGGATATGATAGAGGGAACATAGGAAATGGAAGAAAACTAGGATAGAAGAGAGGGAAAAGAAAAAGTAAAGGGTATGGAAAAGGGAAAAACAATTCGTGCTGTGATATAAGGTATACGAGAAGAAATGTAACTGGTACAGGGTATAGGATAGGGATCAGAACTAGAAAAGGATGAGATAATAAAACTGGGATACAAGAGAAGGAACATAACTAGCATAGGCTATACAAGAGAGAATCAAAATAAAATAGGGTATAAGAAAGGGGCAAAACGAGAGAGACGAAGAGAGAGAATATAATTGCGATTCGATTTAGAAAAAAGAATAAACTATTGTCAAGGTGTAATACGGTATAAGCGGGGTAATATATCCAGAATAGGGTAGATGAAAGGGGAAGTGTTGCGGTATAGGCTATAAAAAAGTTAATATAAATAATATAGGGTATAGGAATGGGAAACCGAAGTTGTAAAGCGTGTGAGAAAAGGAAAGAAACTGATGAAGTGTATATTAAAAAACAATACACTTTGGTGTAAGGTATCAGAAGGGTAGTTAAACAGTTACAGTTCCCATTTGGGTAGATAGAAGTTAGTAGAGCTGATAAATTAGGTATATGGATACCCAAGGCCATACCAAATTATTATTTCGACTGAAAACCACATTAACTCCAGTCCATATTAGTTTTCATTTCAGTTATCAGCTGGTTAAAGTTAAAGGGATTTAGAAGAGTTTCTTTTTAAGTCGAAGGCACGTGGCGGCAAATTCCATGCCCTACTTTTAATCTAAAGCTCCGCGAGCAATGTCATTTAATTAATGCCCAAATGATAAACGAGCTTGTAGTGAAATTTCGAAAGGCTTTTCACGAGTCTTTTTATAAGCTGCATAGCATGAGATTATATAAAATTATTTGCATATTTATATATACTATACATATATATATATATATATGTGTGTTCCTTAACGATTTGTTTTGACTTTGGCGCACGAGGAACATGTGTGTCTATATAAGCACAATATGCTACGTGTTTTGTTTGCGGACAGGCCTCCTCCCGCTCGACTAAGTATACTTAGCTATAGGCACTACGAAACAAATAAACTTGAAAGGCTGCCAAAGCACAGAGGCAAGTGCAAGTGAAAGAGGAAGCAGAAGCAAAAAAAAAAAATAACAAGAAATAAAATAAATAAATTGGTTGGGCAAATAATGCTTATGATGTGCATATATAAGGATGCACTTGTGACAGTGCCACATTAAGTATTATGCACACTTGTTTTTCTGTTTTCTTTTGCGCTTTTCTATTTTCGATTTTCGTTTTCCATTTGGCCGAATCGCTTGAATTTTCCGCAGACCAAATCGAATAATGCCTAATGCATGTCGCTGATTAATTGACTTGTTTACCCCAACAAAAATTTGTCAGACACTTTTCGGTCTTTATTTTTATCAGTTTTTGGGCATTATATGGGCCTTACGTTCCACACACACACACACACACACACACACACACACACACACACACTTGACATTTCGTTAATTGCAAACGAAATATTCAATTTCGACTTAAAATTTGATTGATGTGCCAGCAGCATTTGCGTCGTATTTGAGCACTTGGCTAATACCCTGTACATGTTTGTCATTCGATTTTGCAGAATCTCAGCGAGAAACGCACGCAAAACCATCGTCCACAGCAGCTGGATGAGCTCACCTCCGACCAGCTGGTGCAGGAGAAGAGCGCCGTGCAGCATGGTCTGCTATACTTCGAGAGCCTCTACGGCCATCCCATCACCAAAGAGGAACGGGATGCGGCACGTCCGCTCTACGATCGCTACAGGCAGCTGAAGCGTCTGGTTTCGCGCCACATCATGTTCGGCGGCTGTGCTGGCGTCCATGAGCTGCCCACCATACTGGAGCACGAGGCTATGGTGTTCGAGGCAACATCCACACCGCTGCAGTATTCATCGAACAATAGCACCGAGACCACCAATTCGCCCAGCGACTCCATGGCGCCAAATGCCCAAACACAGAATGCTTCCTCCGATGAGTCCACGACGACAACTACAACGACGACGGCAACGGCAACGGCAAATGCGACAGAGACGCAGGCGGAGAACATTGCGGCGCTCAGTGTGGATCAGTTGTGGGAGCAGCTGGAGCGCGTGCGCGAGGAGAAGATGCTGCTGAAGGCGACCATACGCGAATATGAGTCCATATTCGAGGAACAGAATGGACGCAAAATGTTAAAGCCGGATCGCAAATCTCTCGAAACGGAAACCTATGCCCAGTACAAGGAGAAGAAGGCAAAGGTGCGTCTGCTGCAGGCGCTGATCAAGAAGCACATCGGACACTAGACAGTGCCCCATACACACACACACACACACACACATACACAAACAAACACACACACTCATGCAAACTATTTATTTCATACACGAGAAATTATTTCAAAATATATGACATATAGTATACATTAATTATAAATATAAACAAAACAAAAAACAAAAAAAAAAAAAGAAAGATATACACAGCTATGTAGTTTTTAGATTTACATTTATCATATATTCTATAATGATACATTTTATGAATATTGTTGATTCCTTATTGTTTTATAAAAACACCTATACGATTACACTTATAAAACAAAATTGAAAATAAATTCACAAAAACATCTGAGAGAAATGTTGACACATCTTGACTTGGTTTACAAGCTACACTATAAATATATATAGTGTATATTGCACTTCTCATATATCAATCAGACTTCCACACGGAATTGATATCTATATATTCGTATGCGTATAACTCTTTGAGCCGTAATTGAAAATCCATTTTCTAATCGTCATTGATGTTAAAAAATGAATATTGGAACCTATTTTTTTTTATTTATTTATTTGTTTAAGTTCCATTTCGCAGAGAATATAATGCTCGATATGACTGAACCGCTTTCAGACATTGCATAAACAGAGTTGAATTGAATTTATTTTTATTTATTGATTAGTTGTAGAGTTCTATATGTTTGTTAAAGCATAAATCAAATATGTATGAATAACTATGAATATTTCACAGAAAGAAAATTTTATAAATGTTGTCTATCCACTTGTAGTCACAAATTTTATAACGCTAAACAAATACAACATATATATGTCTCTCTCTCTCAGTATATATAGAATCTAGATTTGTATACAATATTATTGTCGCGCTTTCAATCAAATGTTTCAGCATAATATTCATGTGCGTAGAGCGGAAACGGAAGCAGCTTCTAACAGTCGATATCGAGATATATCCAAATATATATATATATATATGCATACATAGTGGGGAGGCCCAAATAGCCTCGTTCGAACGGTTTTGATTTGGTTTTCGGTTGTTGTGCAGGGTCTATTGAGGGTATTACGCAGAAGCGCATTAACACTTACACATATATATGTAAATAAATATATATGTATTTATATGCGCACATATATATGTATATCATATGATACGAGTATAAATTTACAAATACCAAAACATATTAAATTCAAAACATTTACAAGCAAAATTATTCTTATATATTTAAAAAGGCAAGACCCAAATGCGACAAGATTTGTAGCGTTACAAATAACCCAAACAAAAAAAAAAGTAAATGTCTATGATATGAAATACAAAATAAATTATATCACGTTATTATAAAAAATATCAAGCAGCATTTTTATTCAAATTTATTCTGTACAAGACTTTTAAATCATTTTCGACACATTCGACTGGCACAGTTTTTATCTGCAATTAGAGAAAGATATATGCGAGTATTATATTTTATCGAATAGACAAAACAAGTTGTCATATAAAGCTTACCAATTTCGAGAATTGTTTGTGCCAGCCAGCCAAGTAAAGCCGAGGCGAGTTAATGACAGTTCACTGCAAATGCAAGAGAAATATTATTTAATTATTTTCATTAAATAGCAATCAAAATGATATTCAAGTTTTTATCAGCATGTAAAACCAATCGACATCATTAACTCCGACTGGGGCGGTATGTAAAACATCATTAAAATGAAAACTTGATATATACTCGTAAATATTTAGGAAAATTACCTTCCAATCTGCACGGGCTTAAAATGCTTCGGAGCAGACATTTTCGACATCTGAAAGCAAATTAATTTACAATCAATATACGTGTTATAGTAGTTTTTTAAAATAATAATGAACTTGACTTTAATCAGCTTATTTTATCATCAATTATTCTTATGACAGGGATAACTGTTTGGCTTAAATAAAGTGTTCATCATGGTAAATGCAGATTATAATTAGAGACAAGGTCTCTCAACTAACCTCATCGGATCCATTAAAAGTTGCGGCATACTTAAAGATCTGCTTGATGAACCGCCGGCTTATCTACAAGAGAATAAACATATATTAGAAAAACTCTTTGGATATTCATAAGGCATATAACATTATTTATTCAGACGAGTTTATATAGCAACATAATAAATTCAGTTATATGCTTGTCTACAGTTATATCATCAGTTTAAATAAAGGAGCGATCACCGTATAAAAGATGATCAATAGAAGAAAAACTCACCTCTTTCCATAGACAACACCTCACTTGCCTGTGGTCTGCAACCGCAGCTGAAATAATATAAGACTTTTATTAGTTATACGAATTAAATAAAACTAAAATAAATATTTTGCTTAAATTTTGTATCAGCTTCTTGTATCATCAAGTATTTTATTATGACAGGGATAACTGTTTGGCTTAAATAAGGTGTTCATCATAGGATTTTTCCATAAGTTGAATTTCGTACCAGATCTTAACTCACCTCAAGCATGGTGAACAGAACCAATGATGCGCGCCAACACGTGGACATTTCCGGCTGGAATTTTGGAAAAACAAATTTGAGTTTTTAGTACACGCAAACGCAAGTAAATATGTTTTTATTTCTTAAGATATTTCAGAAACAATGTCCAATCGTCATTATACTTCAGACTGGGGCGGTAATTTTATACATCATTAAGAAATATCACCGGTCAAATTTGTTCGAAGTGTCGAAACTAACCTTACTAATCCAGGCAACACGTGCGCGTGGTTTTTCAGTGCATCACAGCCAGATGCAACACATTTTCAATTTATTTTCCAGGCTTTTAACACGTTCACCAATACCTCACAATCTGTAAGTAATACATTTATTTAGTTGGCAAAATTTTTAATTAAAAATTAAACAAACACGTGTGGCATTTTTATCAGCATTGAAAACCAATCAACACGTCTTTTCAGACTGGGGCGGTATAGATAAACATCATGGTAAAAATAGGCACGTGTTTATGATCAAAAATATTTAAAAATTTACTTACCATTTTATGCATTTATTAGTTGCGGGAGCGCGAGAAAAGTGAACTTGTCTACAGCTGCGTTGCGAAGGAAAAGAAATGTATGCAGCGGTGTGGCTATCAACAGCCAATCGAAATGTCCCGATCAATTGATGGCGGTCGGTCGATATGTTTTTAACATGCGCAGCCAACATCACGCTACACCTATTTGAGCTAACAGCTGTTGGCGTTTTTTGTGAATGTCAATTATCGGTAGCTGACTATCGATATCTCTCGGCGGTCGACCAGTCGTACGCGCGTTTTTTGTGAAACAGCACAATTTTATAATGTATAAAATTTGAATTTATGAAATTCTAAACATGGAGCGAGCTGTTGAGCTGGAAGAGGAAGAGGAGCTGCAAGTTAGCATAACATTTGATGAGCTGCAATGTTTCGATTGCGAAGATGTTTCCACATGTGTTTCAAAACAGACCGCAATAAAAATTTGCAACAAGAGTCTCGAGGATCTGAGCGCCAAAACTGTGGAAGTATTGAGTCTCTGGCTACGAAAGCTGCTAAGAGCCTATATAAATGAGGCTGAATGCTGTATTGATGTTTTCAAGTGCCTATACGAGTGGTTTCTGCGACTGGTAAGTGCTGCGCATAATTGGAGCAACTGCCTCAACTTGCCTCGTTCTCTTGCAGAAAGACGATGTGACACCAGAGAATAAGGCTGCATGCAGTGATTTTATCCTACTGCTGAATGATGCACTGGGATTTGCCGAGTGGGCAAAAGCCAAGCTGCTGACAGCTGGCGAACGTTTGGTGCACACAACAGCTTTTTTTCTGCTTGCCATTGTCTACAGCTGCCTACAGCTAAGGTGAGCGTGGGATCAATAGATAGTCAATTATTATAATCAATAAATGTATTTGTTTATTTCTCTGCAGCAATGAGAACAATGTGCAAGCGCTCAGGGAGCATGAACCGGTGGCCATCGAGCTCCATTTATCGGTCTTATCTCTGCTGCAAGAGATTACCGCCACTTCCCGTCAAGTACATGCCCGCATAACACCTTGTATGTGTATTAGTTATAAGTAATTTGAATAATAGTACACTAATTGCTTTGCTAGTGCTGCGCCAGCTGGTCGAGATTGCAGATTTTCTAAGTGTTAAAGCTACACATCTGCATGCCTTTGTCAAAACCAGCAAGACCATGACGAACATCTGCACACACTACAATTGTCTCGAGCCTAGTCGTAATGAAGCTAGAGGCATGCCCGATTGGCTGCAGGAGACAGTGCTGCATCTCTGCGACACGGTTCTCAATCAATTGGAGGCGGTTTATCAACAGGTTGAACAGAGTCTTTGAATGTTAAAATCATGTCGTTTCATACTTAAATTCTCTTAGCAGGGCACAGCCGTGGACAAGATGGAAGAATATTTAAAAGTATCACAGGTTTATCTGATCATGTTACATAAATTATTGGGCAGCGGTGTTACGCACATGGATAAAACTGTTTTGGAAGCCATAATGCTGCTGCTAAGCGGTGGTGAAACGTAAGTGAGCAACCTGCTGATTCTTGACAAACTTAAGATTGACTTGTGCTTGTATCTCTTTCAGAAAACCTAGTCATGATGTGGGGAAAGACATGCCCGGGCTTGTAGCTAAATATATGCGCACATATGTCATGCACATTTATGAGCTGCTCTATCAGCTCGAAGATTTTCAAAAGGCAAGTTCTTGCATTGGCAGTCAATTTAGCCTAATTTAATAGTGTCTGTTTAGCACCTAATTGCCTGCCTGTCTGGGTCCGAGCAAACGGCTGAGGATTATAATGAGCTGTGCTTGGATTATGTAACTGTGTGCATCATGGATCATCTAGAAATAAGTCAGCCCACCTGCCGGACTTTACAAAAAGTATTTGAGTATTTGTGCAAAGGTAAAAAGTCGAATTAAAATATCATTTCTTTTCACTCTAACTTATTGTTAATTCCAGATGGTTATAATTTTGTCAATGCTGCGCGATACAAACGAATACTGGAAGCCTTTGGCAGTCTCTTGCATTTGGCCTGCTCCGCCGCATTGTACAATTACTTTTGCGCTGGACTATTTCAAGAGGACATCATAAAGTCACAAGTCTGTGCGGATGTGCTTATGCTGAGCTTTCGGTTAGGCATTTATTCATTTATATATACATATAGATCCTTTTATATTTACACTAGTTGATTTGCAGTCTAGAAGAGGTCCAATCGGGCTGGCGTAATAATGCGCTCATGCAGGCCACAAACTATTGGATCAAGTGCAATAATTCGTATGCCATGTTTTCACAGAATTTAAGTCAACTGCATGTAAGACGCATGCTCAAATACTTCCATAGTTTGAGCAATAATGAGCCGCCCGCATTTAATATACGAAACTATCGTTATTTGCATTGTATATGCGCCGGAGTGGAGCAACAGCAGCGACTGTGGCTGCTGCGATTACAGCGCCTACTCAACGAGCCACTTAGCGATATTGAGCAGTATTACGAGATTGTAAGTTAAGCATATATTGATTAATTAATACAATTAACGTGATAATTCTTCTCTGTAGTTGGCGCTCATGGAGCTGCTGTCAACCGGCCAAGTGGACTGGCTGCTGCAAGTGTCAGGCAGCAAGCAGGAGCTGCTGCTTAAGGACACGTGCAAGCGCCTGGCTAATGTTTACTTTAAACTGGCGCTACAAGCCAGCCCAGCTACAAAGCTGCGCATATTACAAACAGTTACGCTGTCAAAATCTGTTGCCAATAGCTGCTGGCACGTGCAAAGATTTCTGCATGCCTGCCAAGCCAGCGACAATGCGCAGCTTAAGTCTCTGGCGGAGCGGCATGCAATTGCTACAGAGCTGCGTCCGCTTTTAGACGCTGTGCAGCCAGCGCGCTCTTTATTAAAAACAAACGCAGGCATGCTCGATATTAACTACACTAAATTTAACTATGCAAGAAACCAAACGCACCACTGCCAGGGCAACCAGGGAAACCTAAAGCGCAAACGTGCTCAACACGAGCCCAAGGAATTAATTCGACTACTTGAGCAGAATGCACAGCAATTGGTCGAGTCCGCCGCTGAACTAGATGCAAGCGATCTTCTGCAGCTAAGTGGTATTGTTAACAATTTAAAACACTTATTGCCAGATCAGAACATATTATGATTTGAAAATACGTTTAGTTATCACACATTCTATGAAAAGTTTCGCACATCTTCGTTTTCCGAACTTAAAATTTCTGCAAACTTTTCGCTCAGCTTGTCCAATATACATTTTTGACTTGGAATGCCTGTGTGTGACTAATTAGACAGGGATCAGGCATTAGAGTAAATCATATTTACTATCTGCAATAGAAGCTGTCCGATCCGATCGAAGTTCATGTGCTTTAATATGCAGGCGAGTAGAAACAAAAAGACCGGGAAAACCTACAAGTCACTAATTTATGAAGACAACATCGAACTGGTTGGTTCGAACATGTTGCAATCGAACTTTGTATAAATGAATGTCTTCGGGTTTGGTGAATAGTTTATTCGAGCACTGCTTACTTCGATACTTATCGATATCAATCGAAAGCGCGATTCTGTCGGTTTTCACTGATGCAGGGCTCTGGTTCGGCTTAAAACCCGTTTTATACTAAAACGGCCACATGTATAAATAAAATACTTTCGCCGTTTTTAATTAATCTAAAAGTTTTTAATTCAAATACCTGCCTTATTCAGGCAGTTATGATAACAACAATTATCTAAGTACTTTAACAAATTCTAGTTGTGTAAGTCTACAAATTATCTTAGTTTTAAAGCTTAAACTTGGTCACGTTGCGCTGACCCAATTTTTCGAAGATTTTAGTATAAATCTCATGTTGCTCCTCCTCCTGGATAAAAATGCCTGTAAGGAAAAACGAATTTAGCCATCGTTCCATGCTCTCGGGCAGCGTACTCACCTGCAAAACTGGCTGATATGAAGCAGACAATGCTGCCCACGATAAACGCGCGAAAGGCCACCGAGGTGATGGTGGCTCGTCGCTTGGGTGCCATCGCGCTCAAGGAGCCAATCAGTATGCCCAGAGAGCTGGGATTGGCAAAGCCGCAAATGGCGAAGGTGGCAATACCGGCGCTGCGAGCCTGCAACAGCAAATGCTGATTAGCCTCGACTGTTCCCAATGTGTTATCAGTTACGAAAAGTACTCACTTCAATTCGATTATTTTCAATCAGTTCACCCAAGCGTTCGTAGGCAACAAACTCGTTGATGATGGTCTTGGTGGCGATCACTTTGGCAATATTATCGCAGTCTTTTGGGGCCACGCCCATGGCCCAAGCCAGTGGTATGAAGATCTTGGAGAATATCCACTCAAAGTCCACCTCTTCGTGGCCAACGAGAAAGCCCAGCCAGCTGACAACTCCATTCAAGAAGGCAACGAATGCCACAAAGGCCACAATGTTGGCAATAATGCCCAGTACAATGGGCACGGCATTGGAGGCGCCACTCGAAGCGGCATCCAACAAGGAAGCATCTTCGCTGAAATTAAAAAGAGGAAGAGGCAGTTAGCTTATATTATAAATATATATATATTATATATTAAAAACTTACGATTTCTCAAGCTCTATGGTATCGCTGGAGGTTTGGCTAACCTCAGTTTCGGGCATATACAGCTTGGATATGGCCAGTGTGGCAGGCGCGGCCATCACAGACGAGGTGATCAAATGCGCCGGAGATGCGCCAAAGGATAAATATGCGGCCATCACAGTGCCCGATACGGTGGCAAAACCCGACACCATAATGCTGTGTATCTCGCTCTTGGTCAGCTTGTGTATGTAGGGTCTGATTAGCAGCGGACTCTCGGACATGCCCAGGAATATGTTGGCAGCAGCCGTAACGCTCTCGCAAACGGTTGTGCCCAGTATTGCCTGCAGTATCCAGCCCAGCTTGATTACCACCCACTGCATGGCGCCCAAATAGTAGAGCACCGATATAAAGAAGCTGAAGAAGAATATCACTGGCAATATGGCAAAGGCAAAGACATCGTTGCCAACAAGAAAATCGCCAAACACAAAACGTGCACCGTCCGTGCCGTAAGCCAAAAAGGTCGCCACCTTGTTGCCCAAGCACTCGAAGATCTGGCGACCCACCTCCCAGCGTATGCAAAAGATGCCCAACAGAAACTGGCACGTAATGCCCGTAACCACAATGCGCCATTTGATGGCGCTCCGCTTGGTGGAGAACACATAGCCGCAGAATGTAAAGAAGCATGGCGCCACCAAGGAGATCAGTTTGCGTGGCTTTTTCCTCGTCTCGAAGAACAAAAATATGGCCAGAAGTATGAACAATATCACGATGCAGGCAATCGAAACGACGCTGTAAAAGAAAGGATTGGAAAAATATATACATTATAGCAGATATAGAAATATATATCTTTGACTGACTAAATAGCTGACAGACTGACTAACTATAGACATAGGTCGCATCTCATCCGATTTTCACGAAGTTTGGCTCTTTGTTCATGGTTTGGCCTCTAAATCAATTTGCCATCAAAGTCTGGTAACATTATTTTTGGTAAAAATTCATGTGGAAATATCCACTATAGACATAAATCAAAATTTCCCACCTCCATTACTCGGTCAAATATATGATATATGATGAGATATTGACTATTATCTTGGTTATGGAAGTTCTTCATATAAGCAAAATTAAGCTTAAACCAAGTCTAGTATGAACTAGAATCAATTAAGTAAATGCCTAATTTTATTATCAAGATTATTATTAGAAATATGAAAATATAGGAATACAAATTATTTAAGCGTGGGACGTCTTCAATTGAGACTATTTAGTTTTACAAAATATTCCGTTTTGTATAATGTAACAAACAAAACTTGACTTCAGTTTTTGAACTAAGTTCAGTTGGGTTGAAAAATGAAAACAAACAATACTTGATAGGAGTTTTTTTCGTACTTTCAAAATATTGTAATGAGCTCTGTTAGACTTCACATTGAATCAAACGAAACCTGATTTAACTTTTTTGTACTTGAAAGCGATTAATAAGAAATAAGTTGTTCATACTTGGACCAAGTATTTCCTGTTTTATCTCACTTTTTTGACTGGTTCTACTTGATTCAATCTTTAAATTTTTCAGTCTTTATATTATAATATATATGCATACCAATATTATATTTACTTACCGCGTTCTGGAGAACTTATGCCATCTAACGGACGCTGGATGCAGAAAGTTCTTGTGCAATGATCGCCCCAATTTGGGCTTGAATATCAGATAGTAGAATAAACCCAAATAGATGAAGCCCAGCAGCAGTACGAGCATGCCATAGCCGGTGCAGAAGCGTATGCCACATAGCGGCAGATTAATATCATATTTGCAGTCATATTTATCTGTTAAAATTAATAAAATATGGCCGAAGTTAAGCTGGGTGCATATATAGACGAATTTGAACTGTAAGACTTGAGCCATGGTTCAAATCGTGAATTTTATTTGATTTTATGTATTTATTTGTATATTTTTTGGTGTATATACGTACTCAGATCGTGATAGTGATATGTGGCATAGGAAAAGTAGCCCACAATACCGATTTGTAAAACTATTTGAAAACCTATTTTAATCCAACGTATCAATTTTTTGTAATTCTGTGTTTCCATGCCGCCATCATTCTGCATAGGTCCTTGATCATGGATATAATCAACTTGATAATCAGTCTGCAAGCAATAACATATATAATGAAATATATATTCAAAGGAACAGCTGCACAGTCCATACCTTATGTGACTCAGGATTTGATCTACCTACGTCAGTCTATCATAATACAAAAAATGGGGTAAGTAGTTAATTCAATTGAATACTTTGTGTTGTATTGTGTATTGTGTAGTATACATACATGATCCAATTCATAAGCATTGTTAATTGCACCTGTTGAAGTTTTACTGTCCATCTAAAATTATATAGTTTGCGATTTTGATAACGACACAATATTCGTTCTTATATGTATGCCAAGTATAACTGGCGCATATTATACACTGAACCCCCATTGATGAAAATGTGTAAAATCTATAAAAATCTATATCGAAAGCCTTTTCTTTGGCGGACAACTCAAATTTTTAATGTAGATTATCTTGATATATAGAAGTGTATTTGACTTTTCATACTCTGAAATATGTCTATAAAAGAAAGAAGAGGGGATTTTGCCATATCTAGCTGTCCATCCTTCTGTATGAACTAGTTGATCTCAAAGGTCTGTAAGAGCTAAAGACTTGCAATTTTGAACATAGGCTCTGATGTCGGATCTATTTTATGTAATCGATGACTTGTTTTCATGAAATCGTTATCGAAATTCGTTTTTTAGGCATAACTCGAAGCTGATAAGAGCTAAAGATCTCAAATTCGAATTGTAGAATATCTTGCAGATGTCTCTATAGCTGTAGCTCGTCCCTGGGCGCAGGGTATCTCTAAGTCATGAACGCCCGACAAGAGCCCTCTTGTTTTTTTCTCCTAATCTCTATCAAACGAGGAACTACGATTAGTTGCTTTTAAGCTTTAGTATGCGTTCAAGTATGTACGAAATAAAATTACCCCATGCCTGGGGCATATATTACCGATAACTGGCCGCGATAAACCGAGCAGCACGTGGAGCACCATTCTTAAGTGGTTCGAAAGTCAGTTGTGATCAAGTGTGCCTGTAATCCTGCGTTGGCTCTTTTTATGCGGCGGGGTAAGGCCGTAATAAATATATTGGCGTTGTCGTAAATCAGAATGGGAACAGGATGTATGCTACCATAAATTGTGACAAACGCATGACATTGGTCATATAACGTTTTCGGCCTTGATAGCGCAATCAGATTTGCCAGGAATTATTTAGGCCATAAACGTTGACCCTTCGAGATTACGAGATATGTGAGTCATTAGAATAATTGGACATTAAAAGCTAATCTTAAAATTCCCTGACGTAATTTAAATTTCTCGCAGCTTTAATTTTTATTTTTTTTAAGTTTGCCAGCCAATTATAATTGTTCTTAACTTTTCCAATTAAAAGATTGTGAATGTGTTGTTTACACAAATGTGTTTTGTTTTTTTCTTTTCTTGATAGTTATATTTACTGTTTGTTTTTTCTTTTTTGTTACTTTTTTTTTATTCTGAATGAAACTTTAAACGGGTAATTCACCTTTATATCTGTTATTATTGTTGTTATCTCATTTATAGCGTAGCAAACCCGTTTTCAACTGCGTTTTTTTTACAACCTTCGTTTGTTTTAACTGCCAGGTATTTGAGTTATAGCCAAGTATATACA